TATATACTGCGACATAAATTTTCGTTTCGTGGAAGACGAGCTATTGCAGTACCGCGCGATCGAACGTAAAAGCCGCGCTGATCAAATGCTAAAAGGTTCGGCATAGCTCTTTAGCGAGTGAACGAATTTGCGCGGATTCTTGCCTTAATCATCCTTTAGTTATCGCTTGGCAGTAAATGACGGACGCAGGCGCGTAGGCCAGTCAGGAGGCGGTTTCCGCGATTGGATACGTTCCAGGTGGTCCCGCAAAGAACGTATTTCCTCGTCGCGAGGAGACGCCTCCTGTCTTAACGAGAGGAACGTGTGTACAAAGGCGAAACGCGATGAACGAAGTGAAAATGGTTTAATGCGCGGTAAATCCGTCGTCGGGTCTTCATTGGGGATAATGATTCTCGCTCGCGGCTTCGATTCGATCATACGACAACCACAAAAGCTCATTTAAATTTTATCATATTTCATCACAGACGGATCAAAGAAGCAAGAAGCAGAATCCAACAATGAAAAAAAAAATTTCAAAAAAAACATGTCAGATAATATGACACAAAAATGTAAATTTGTGTAATATAATTTCTTACTTTGATTTAATAATGGAAATATTAAGCAAATATTTTTTTTACTTATTTCTCAAAATATATTAATTCAATACTTAAACTAATTTATTTTATTTTAATTTTCAACAAAATTGATTTATAACATGACAAGAGAAAAAGAAATAAAATACATAAGCTAACTAAAAAATATATTTCGATTTATGTCAAATAGATGTAAAATTTAGTGGATAATTTGTGTAAATAAAAATTTTTCATGATACAAATATACATATAGTTATGCTAATATAACATTAATTCACGAAAGCGACGTACTGCAGCTTCGCGCTTTGAATAGTAAAACAATGTACGAATAAATCTGATTTGGCTACACAAAATCCAATAATGCTTCGATATTACAAAGGTAAAAGCCAACAAAAGAGAAATGCATAAAAGATAGGTCATAGCTCACGATATCCTAGAGGATATGATAAAATATAGCAACCTGAAAAAGAACTATTATATCATATAGATAAACATGAACAAAAAAGAGAGTAACGTCATCTAATTATTTTATTGTTAAAAAAACTTTTGAGCATACTTATATATATATATATATATATATATAGAGAGAGAGAGAGAGAGAGAGAGACAAATAAACAAATAAGAC